CTTGGAAAAAAGGGAAATACACACATATTAAATCTGTTGAAATGTAGATATTGTAAGAATGCTTTGATTTAGAATATGCAGGGAATTAGATGTAACTTTGTATAGATCATGAGGTCTAGTTAAAAAAAAAAAAAGCCTTTGAGATCTAGTTAAAATTTGTCTTCTTAAACAAGACAAAATTACTGAACTAATAACAAATCTTCATTTCTCCAAAAGGGTTTTAGGATTAAATGAACCTAAGATAAAGGAATCTGAATCTCTTTCCCTAGCATAAACTCAGCAGTGGCATAAGGATCGGGGGTTACCTAACTATTGCAGAGGGGGGACTCCCAGATAATGGTGACATCTTGCCCTAGGATCAGGGAGGGGGACATGTTGTGTGTGGGGTGAAGAGAGGAAAAAGACGGTGATCACTGGTATCACTTCTACATTTGTCCCCTGTACCTGATCAGTCAGTATATTTACTTGCTTTTTTAGGTACCTGGTTTTGAGAGACCAATTTTGTTAGACTACAGGTGGGGGTTGGATTAGCTAGGGAAGCCTGGAAAAGGCTTCTTCGGTTCTTCTGACACAGCTGCAACAGGCAAAATGGGAAAAGGAACCCAATATGGGCAGTTCTGGTCATGCTGAGAAGGACTTTGAGGTAGATTGTCCAGTGGAAGTTAGAAATATGAGCCTGGAACTGAACATGTGACCTATTGACTTAGAAGTGGCTGACAAATGTCTTGGTTTGGGCGGTGGGGGCAGGATCTCCTGAAGAAGCACCAAAAATGAGAAGTAAGTGGGCCAAAATTGGAATTTCTGCTGATCCAATAGTTAAAAGACTTGCTAAGGATTGCTGAGTCAAAGGCATCTGAAAAAGAAACTCAAATAACATTCAGAGATGTAGGATGATTATATTCTTTTTTTTTTTAAGATTTTATTTATTTATTTGACAGAGAGAGAGACAGCGAGAGCAGGAACACATGCAGGGGGAGTGGGAGAGGGAGAAGCAGGCTTCCCGCGGAGCAGGGAGCCCGATGCGGGGCTCGATCCCGGGACCCTGGGATCATGACCTGAGCCGAAGGCAGATGCTTAATGACTGAACCACTCAGGTGCCCCGATTATATTCTTTTTTTAAAAAAGATTTTGTTTATTTATTTATTTTGAGATAGAGGGGGGGAGTAGGGGGAGGGGGAGAGGGAGAGGGAGAGGGAGAGAGAAACCCAAGCAGACTCAGCACCGAGAGTGGAGCCTGATGCAGGGCTCGATCTCACAACCCATGAAATCATGACCTGAGCTAAAAGCAAGTCAGATGCTTAACCAACTGAACAACCCAGGTGCCTCTGATTGCATTTATTCTTTAAATAAAGGATACCTTGCATTACAACAACTGCACACTTATTTTTTGTTATACTATATGCCTAACATAACACAACCCAACATAGAGATATTTTTTGACAAGGATCAACAACAGTTTTACTTAAAAAAATAAAACAACTTTATTACAGCATCACTACTATATATAACTGTACTTTTCTTTTTTTTAAGATTTTACTATTTTATTATTTTTTAAGTAATCTCTGTACCCAGTGTGGGGCTTGAATTCACAACCCCAAGATCAAGAGTTGCATGCTCGTCCAACTGAGCCAGCCAGGCAGCCCGCATAGGTGTATTTTCCACATCAAGTTGATTTAGTGCTTTGAAGAAAGTCTTTAACAGCTAAAATTGTGCAGATGACAGGGCAAGAGGAATAGTCTAACAAATTCAATAAAAATATTTCAGGACAACTGTATTATAGTTTTAGACTATAATAAAACTATCTTAGAAAATTATAAGTTTATCATAGTATAAACACTCTAAATCTTAAAATAAATCTATGAATATTATACAAAAATATTCCAAAATATAAACACTGAATAAAAAATTTATCATGTCCAATGGAAACTATTATTAAAAATATATTCTTGGTGGTAAAATTTAAAGTGATAATCACAAAACAGTGTTTCCTTAATCATTTATCATCTAAAATATTTTAGTAGTAATCACAAGGTTTAGAGTTTCACTATAAACTTTTCATTTTTACAAATGCAAGATATACAATTTCCTTCATAGACCCCTTTTCTCTAGCTTACAGAAAAGGGCAAAAAAGTAACACAAATTTCTTAATCAAATTTGACATGTCATAGAAAGCATAAAAATTATGAAATCTTTAAGAACTTGTATCCTTAGCTGGTTCCCTTTAAGAGGAAAGAGTTATATATTGTACATAAGAAAAGATAAAAAAACACACTGCTACAGTATATCTAAATCAATCTAAAAACAATGTTCTCACACTTTAGGAAAATGTTAAGTACTAAATCTCCTTTAAAAGCCATTGTTTTATGAATAACTATGACAAAACAAAATATTTGCATTTAAACAATTTTGGTATGAAATATCTCTGGAACAGTATAAGAAGCATCCTGCCAAAAGCATTATTTTACTGTATAAAAAAGTAAGCATATCTCATTGTTTAATAATTTCTCCTAAATGCTACAAATGACTATTTTGAAATAATGTTGATATTATTTACAGTTATGTTTTTACCTTGAGGTACAAATTTCATATCAGGCTGGATATTTTTTTTAAGTAGGCTCCACATCCAGCATGGAGCCCTGCGCAAGGCTTGAACTCACAAGTCTGAGATCAAGACCTGAGCTGAGATGAAGAGGTGGACACTTAACTGACTGAGCCACTGAGGCGCCCCTAAGTTAAATATTCTTAAAAGCTAAAAGGTAGATTTATGACCTAGTAACATGCCAATTTTAAGTCTCTGAGCAGTTGTGCTATTCATATATACATATCCTAGTTACTAACTACATTCTTACAGAGAAAAATGCACATTAAATTTATTACCCTATAAATAATTTGGACTTTAGTTCCAGCTTTGGTTCTTTTCCATTCTATTAAGGTTCTCCATTCTACTAGGTAAAGTTTTAAACATGGCATTTTGTGGATAATTCACTATAGATACCAGCACAGCAATTAAACAACCGAAAAAGTACTGACGATTTGTACTTTAAACAGAGTAAATACTGACACTGGGAAAAACCGAAATGGCTCATTTTCCCCAACCCGTTAGTGCAAATTAGCAAACTTTTAGAAGAATTTAGTCATTGAAAGTGGGAAGCATAATCTCATCTTCATTCATTCCTTGTTCATATCGAACTGAAGAGAAGCCTGGCCAGTGCGACCGGTTCCTTTGGAAGAGGAACCAAACCAGTGCACTGATGAGAGCTAAGACACTTAGCACGGCAAATGTGATAGTTATTCCTCTGTAATCAGGGCCTAGAATAGGAAAAGGTTTGACATTGGAGGAGAGAATATAAAACTTATCATTATTGATTTATACAGTAGGCTGTGTGTCACGTGTGTAACCTCTGTACAAATTAGACACAATAAGTACCTGATTGTCTCATAGCATTAACACAGAATGCAAACTCCAACATCAAACACTCAAGTGTTTTCTTTTCAGATTTAACTCTTTTTCTTTTCATTTAAATCCTATTCATTGTTTTAGCAATTTTCTTCTAAAGAAGTTAAAGCATTATCTTTATTCTCACTTTCCCCATCACCCTTTCAAGAACATCACATCCAGTATATTACCTTACTTTGATAGCAAATTGTTAAAAGTTGTAAATTTTTGTGTTTGACTTACCTAAGGCCAAATAAAGTGTTATTTGCTTTAAAGCGAATTTAAGACTTTAGGATGACTTCATTTAGCTCCTAGCTATTTTCAAATGCTGTCCCAGACCCCTTCTTTGCATGCTGCCCAGATGGACTCAGTTTGTCCCCTTGCTTTAAATACTATCTCTATGCTGACCTCTCTTCTCTCTCATATGTCCAACTGCATGCTAGACATTCCATATGAATATCTCTTCTCCATATAGACAGCTCAGAATGCCAAAACGGAACTCTTGGTTTATGCCACCATAACCCTGCTCCCCAGCTCCCCCCATAATCTTCCAGTTGTTTTCCATTTCACTCAGCATAGAACCTGAACTCTTGACCCTTGCTTCCAGAGTCCTGGGTGTCTGGAGCCTGCCTACCTTTCAGATCTTCCTTGAGCACTCATCAAGCTCATTCTGCTTTAGGCTCTTTGTTCCAAATGGTAGTTCTGCCTGGTGTGCCTCTTCCCCTGATCTTTGCTTGGCTGGCCTTTCAGATCTCAGCTTCAGTGTCTCCTGCTCTTAGAGGTCTTCCCTGATAACCTAATCGAAAGTAGCCATCCCCCTACCCAGCACACAAAACAGGGCATGATGTATAGCAGACACTCCAAATATTTGCTGAATCAATGCATGAATATACAAATACCAATCATCTAGCATTGGGGTTTCATCTTTAATATTTACACACCAAAAAGACATTTTTAGGCTAAATCTTCAAAACTGTTGCTGTGAAAAATTTATAGCTCTTTTCTCTAGAAATGAAATTAAGATAAGATTTTTATGGTTATTTTTTATATCAATTCATGATGAAATCTAAGTTTAAATTATGACTTCCTATAGATGCTCCTTCCAGGAAATTTTAAGTAATTAAGTCCAGTTTTGCACTCTTGCTAAGTTAATCATGAGTTATATGGGAACGAGGAGAAAAGAAGCAAACTGACTGCAGAATTAGACCTTTGAGCTTTTACATATTTGACTGATAGAATCAAATACACCTTAAGAACATATTCAAAGAAATGAGCTCCCCAATACCCTGGCAGCTTCTATTTTTCTTAGGGAAGAATTATACAAACTTTAGGCTGTCTAGTAGTTTCATCTGGGAGTCTTAGACATCTTGGCATTTCTACCTCTTGCAATCTATTTTTCTGACAGAAAAAATCTTCATGGCTTCATCAAGTTTTTTGGATATACAGAAAGGACTAAATAAGGACTTTAGGACCAAGTACAAAACTTTGCACATAACTGAGTTGCACATTTATTTCCTGACCTGTTCCTCAAAAAATATTCCTTAAGGACAGGTTCCATACTTACCCAGAGGAACTTTGCAGACAACTCTTCCATAGCCTTGTGAACATTCAACTTTTATCCAAGTTTCATTTGAAGCTAACAAAATGCTACATTTTCCACCACCACTCTTACTTTTATTTGCCCATTTGACAAATGTCACTTTTGATCCATCTAACCAATTCCAAGACTGATCTAAAGAAAGAAATTAAGTTTATTGCCTCTAAATTTCTTTTCTTTTTTTAAATTTAAATTCAATTAGCCAACTTATAATACATCATTAGTTTCGGATGTAGTGTTCCATACTATATCAGTTGCATATAACCCCCAGTGCTCATCACATCATGTGCCCTCCTTAATGCCCACCACCCAGTTACCCCATCTCCCCACCTGCTTCCCCTCCAGCAACCCTCAGTTAAGAGTCTCTCATAGTTTTCTCCCTCTCTGATGACTTCTCATTGTGTTTTCCCTCCCTTCCCCTACGGTCCTCTGCCCTGTTTCTTATATTCCACATATGAGTGAAACCATATGATAATTGTCTTTCTCTGATAGACTTATTTCGCTCAGCATAATACCCTCCAGTTCCATCCACATCAATGTAAATGGTAAGTATTCATCTCTTCTGATGGCTGAGTAATATTCCATTGTGTGTGTGTGTGTGTGTGTGTGTGTCATATGACACATGCCATCTTCTTTATCCATTCATCTGTCAATGGACATCTTGGCTCTTTCCACAGTTCGGCTATTGTGGACATTGCTGCCATGAACATTAGGGTGCAGGTGCCCCTTGGGATCACTACATTTGTATTTTTGGGGTAAATACCTAAGAGTGTAATTGCTGGGTCATAGGGTAGCTGCCTCTAAATTTCTAAGGTAAAATGGCATGTGACTCATACAACTCACTTACTTGGAACTATGCTAGGCAACTATTTAAAATGAAACTTATTAAAAGTGAAAAAAAATAAATCAGTCCTTCAGTTGTACTTGTCACATTTCAAGTGCTCAATAGCCATGTGGCTAGTGACTACTCTGTTACACAGCACTGATATAGAACATTTCCATCTTTGCAGAAAGTTCTATTAGACAGCACTGATATAAAATGTGGTGTTTTGATTAAAGTGCAGAATGCTTGCACTTTGATTGTGTGAGAGATAGATTTCTAAAGAACTGAATCCCCATCAGCATCCTCACCCCCAACTAAAAAACTCGTATCATTAAAGATGTGCCGGGGGAGTAAGGGTCAAGAGGGTCCAGGAGGGGTTCCCCACCATGACTCCATTTTTATTTTCCAGCTGAGATAGCACCACCTTGTGGTGATAGTGTAAACACAATTTAGAATTCATTTTGATGGCCAACTTTGAATCCGTTCACTTTTTGAAGTACTTAATATTTTGGGATTCACATTTATTTCAATTATTTAGAATTCAACTTAGCTTAAAATGTAAAAAAAAAACTTCCTATTCTACTGCATTTGTACTCTTTTTTTTTTATTTATTTATTAGAGAGAGAGAGAATGAGAGATAGCACGAGAGAGAAGAAGGTCAGAGGGAGAAGCAGACTCCCCGCAGAGCAGGGAGCCCGATGTGGGACTCGATCCCGGGACTCCAGGATCATGACCTGAGCCGAAGGCAGTCGCTTAACGAACTGAGCCACCCAGGCGCCCCTGCATTTGTACTCTTAATTCATTCTTTATCAATTCTAAGTTCACTCAAATCTTTTATCCATTATTGCTTGGAGTAATCCATTATTGCTTGAAAATTTCTTCCACAAATCTTTTTTAACCAATTCTCTCTAATTTTATTAAGCTTGTTTGAAAAACAAAATAACCATTTAAGAAAATTTTTCTCTATGGTAAAAATGTTTCAAGAGGGAAGAGAACAGCAAGAAGAGAACCTTCTGAAAAACAGTTATAAGCTACAAAAGCACAGGCGATAGACACTAGAACTCTAAGGGAAGTAAGTCATGAGTTCTTTGTGGGAGCCTGGGGGGCACAGATATTGCTGTAGGAGAAAAAAATACGTTGTCAATCCAAGTATCTTAAACCTCTAGAACATCCCAATTGATTTAACCTGATTTTCTATTTCATTAGTGTTTTCCATCGTTACTAATACGTCACTCACATATTCATTAGGAATTTATAAGTCTCCAAAACAGCCAGCAGACCTAGCTTTTTCATCAATAAGGAGCATTTGAATTAACCACCACTTAACATTCTTTAGCAAGGCTGACTTGGTATTTAGGACAAGTTGGAATTTTCTTTGCACACTGCACACAAATATGTCACTTACCAGCAGAATATTGAGATAATCCAAGCCAAACTCTCATGGTAATATTATTATTTTCCCTCATCAGTCTGCTCACGAACTTATTTTCATCTTCATCCTCTATGGTAACAATAGTTGCAGACTGATCTGTTGAAGGAAAACAAACCCTAAACTAATTAGCTTTATGCAAACTAAGGAAGTGGCTATTTCTCAACCAGCCATTAAAAAAAAAAAAAAACTACCATGATCAAGATCATTGAGAAATTCAAGCGTTACATAGAGAATATTTTGAAAATCTGGTATTTGTGTCAGATTTTTAAAAGTATAGCATTAATAGATTCCAAAAAATTTAGAAATATGTTGAAACTTTATATAGAGAAATTTTATGTTTCTTCAAAATGTTTACCTGATAAACATTTTGATCTTGGAACTGCCTGCCAGTGAGATCATTGTGTATGAACAGCTAGTCATAAGAAGTGGGGTATATGATTGTAGAAAGATGTGTTTCAGCATACTCTCCTCAACAACCATTTCTGTATAATAACTCAGCTTTAAATTTGCTTCTATTAAAATGAAAAGAGAAGCAAATAAGTTTGGGATCTTGGGGAGAATTTCCTTTAATATTATTTTATACATAAGCGTTTTGGTTATGCCCATTAGAGTTCCTAAATATAGTATGGAATCGAATACTCTTGAAGTTTGATAAATTGCCCTAAACCCACAGAGCAAATAGTACTATCACTATCATCAGGCAAGGGATAGAAATAAAATAATAACTAGACTTGGAAATCAATCCTAAGTGGAGTCAAATAGTCTTCAACGGTGACAAGCCTATTAACAGTGACAAGCACTTGAACTAAAGCATTTCTTTTGTGGTGGTGGCATTGGAAGAAGGGCTAAGGCAAGTCTTTCCCCCTTTATAGAAGATCACAGTGTGCATGTGCTTGTTTAATATTACATAATCCTGTAAGGGAAGATATTATCACTATTTTACAGATGAGAAAACAAAGGCTCAAGGAGATTAAGTAAATTAGTTAGGTTTACGCAGCTAGTCAGTTATAAAATTAGAAAGCCAATCCCGATCCTTTCTAATAATAATAGTTTGAATGCTCACTATTTGCAGGGCACTGTGCTACATTTGCATACATTATCTTCTTTCATTAATTCCTACAACAACCCAAACTTTGAAATAAGTACTATTTTCATTCTCACTGTTCAGATGAGAAAAGAGAAGCAATTATGTAACTTCCATAATATCCCTCAGCTAGTAAGTACGGGAGTTGTGCATTAAAACTTAGACCTGTCTGCCTCCAAGGCTTACATGATGAATAACTCCCACACTACAGTGACAGTAAACCTTTCTATTTTCTCCTGTGGGAGGAAGACGCTTCTGACTTCCAGAACGTATGTATAGTTCACAATAGTTCCCAGTGTGTGTGTGTGTGTGTGAGTGTGTGTGTGTGTATAACACATGAGAGTTCCCACACAAAAATTTCCATCATGTAGTTAGCAGTAACAAGGAGATTTTAAAATCAGCCAAATGTCTCCACAACAGTTAGCAAAATAAATGAGATAAATCAGTCTGGCTAAATTGCTACTCAAGGATGCAGGTCTTTGAAATATTCTTGGTATTCTCCCTAGAAGTCATTTCACAGTTTGACTATAGGGTAAATTTATCATGGGAGAGATCCAGTTATTGTTGCCCTTTCTAAAACATTTAAATCTGAAGACAAAAGTCCTTATGGTGTTCAGAGGATGTGGGCCATTTCTATTGCAGAATGGAGGAACAACCCATGCTTCCTTGATTACTCTGGTCAGGATAAGCTTACTTATTAATAACTAAGTAGTGGGAAAATCTATAATTTTGTATTTAATACTTAACCTTTACAAAAAATTTGCCTCCTAATCCCTTCATCTAAACATATCTAGCTTTATTTAAAATGATTTCACTTGTCATTTTCACATAATGGTTCACTTAGCAATTTTTTATTCTACTTCTTTCCACTTACTTTTATTTTCCATGTACTCTTACATTGGTCATTTATAATGGCTATTCCAATATTCCACTTAACTCATATATCATAAAATACTTATCCACTAAGCTATAGGTTATAAAATGCTATTATAAATATTGAGTGTTTTAAAAATGTTTTAAAAAGATTTATTTATTTATTTGAGAGAGGGAGAGAGTACATGTGTTGGTGGGGAGGGGCAGAGGGAGAGGAAGGGAGAGAATCCCAAGCAGACTCCCACTGAACACAGAGCCCAACTCAGGGCTTGATCCCACAACCCTCAGATTATGACCTGAGCCGAAATCAAGAATCGGACATTTAACCGATTGAGCCACCCAGGTGCCCCCAAAATATTTTCCAAAATATAATCATTATTTCAAATTATTTTCTTGGAAAAAATTCCAATGATTAAATTATTGAGTCCAAGAAAATCAATAAATTTTAACTCACCAAGTTTTGAACAGAACTGTTTGGCTTCTGAGAAATTGTGCAATGCCTGGTCAGATGTGTAACAGTGCTCCTTGTACTGGATCCATTGTGACGCATTCTCTTTTACTGCTGGACATCTTGATGAGTATGTATGAGAGGACACCTCTTTAGCTATAAAAATGTTAGACATGACTGTAAAAATGCACAGAAAAAATAGCTGACTTTTAAAATCTCACTAACCCCTATTTGAAACTGTGGTTCCTGTAGGTAAGAAGCATTCAACTCAATACCCACATCAGAGAAAGCTACAGCCCATACTCTAATAAGAGTATACATTCTGATTAGCTTTTTGCAATACCATTTTTAAAACTGAGAAAACAGAAGAAAGTATTTAGCCCTCGAAGAGGCAGAATAAGAAGCAAAGACAGGCTTGGCAGGCCTGTAACTACTTCGAAATAATACTTCAAATTGTTGCTTTCTTTGGATGCTTTTTATCCTGATAATATAAACCTAGTTTTACCTTGCCATATAAAAAACTACTTTTAAAATTATATCCACAAGTGAAAATTTGGTAATTTGTTTACAAAATACAGTATATCTGCATAGCACAATCTGTCTCCTACAAAGACAGCAGCTATGCCTCTGTACCCATTAAATAATAACTCCCCATTCCTGCCTGCCCCCAGAAACCATCTTTCTACTTTCTGTTTCTATGAACTTGACAACTCTAGGTACCTTATATAATTGGAGTCATATGGCATTTGTCCTTTTTGTGTCTGGCTTATTTCACTTAGAATAATGTCCTCAAGATTCATCCATGCAGGTTGCATTATGTATTATGTGTCAGAACTTCTTTCTTTTTTAATGCTGAATAATATTCCGTAGTATGTATAAACCACATTTTGCTTACGCATTCATCTGTCAATGGACAACTTGGGTTGCTTTCACTTTTGGCCATTGTGAATAATGATGCTGTGAACACGGTTGTACAAATACCTGTTCCAGTCCCTACTTCCATTTCTTTTGAGTATATGCCCAGAAGTGGAATTGTTAGATCCTATGGTAATTTTATGTTAAAATTTTTGATAAATCACCATACCATTTTCCACAGTGGCTACATACCACTTTTTATTCCCACAAACAATGTACAAGGGCTCCAATTTCTCCACATCCTTACCGACACTTGTTATTTTCTTTTTTTGGAAGAGTCCATTTTTTTTTTTAAGTTTTTGTTTTTGTTTTGTTTTGTTTGAGAGAGAAAGATGGGTTGAGGGGAAGGGGCAGAGAGAGAGAATCTTAAGCAGGCTCCATGCCCAGTGTGGAGCCCAACAGGGGGTTCCGGCCTCACAACCCAAGATCATGACCTGAGCTGAAGTCAAGAGTTGAACATTTAACCTACTGAGCCATCCAGGAGCCCCTTGAAGATGCAATTTTTAAAGTTTGCCCTTGGGGGGCACCTGGGTGGCTCAGTCGGTTAAATGTCTGCCTTTGGCTCGGGTCATGATTTCGGGGTCCTCATTGGGCTCCCTGCTTCTCCCTCTCCCTCTGCTGCTCCCCCTGCTTGTGCTTTCTCTCAAATAAATAAATAAAATCTTTTAAAAAAATAAAATAAATTTTGCTCTTGTATTAGTTTCCCAGAGCTGCCATAATAAATTGCCATAAACCTGGTGGTTTAAAACAACAGAAATTTATTCTCTCACAGTTCTGGAGGCAAGTCTAAAACTGAGGTGTCAGCAGGATTGGTTCTTTCTGGAGGCTCTCAGGGAGAATCCGTTTCAGGCCTCCTCGCTTCTGGTGGTTGATGGCAATCCTTGTCTTGAAGCCACATCACTGCAATTTCTGCTTCTGTCATCAAAGGGCCTTCTCCCTCTGTGTCTGTTTCTCTCTTCTTACAAGGACACCAGTCATTGGATTTAGGGCCCATCCTAATCAAGCATTACATTACCCCATCTTAACTATTACATCTGGAAAGGCTCTTTTTAAATAAGGTTGCATTCTAAGGTTCTGGGTGGACATGAATTTGGGGGGATACTATTCAACCCAGTATAGCACTGAATTTGTGTTTGTTCATGTTGTCATTCTACTTGGTCCTATAAAGTGTGTTTAGCTAACACAGATGTCCTTTCCATTTTTTGTTTACTTTTCATGTATTCCAATTGATTTTCTAAAACATTACATTTATTTTCTGTACCTAACAACTGAGATGTCAGTTCTTGATTATCCATTTATTCCTCATTCTTGAAATCATTCTCCCTTTCTTATATTCACTTGCTTCTCTGGATAAAGTTTTCATATTTTTTTCCTGCTTGAATCTGTTTAATTCCAAATGTTGAATCTTCTCTGGAGGATTCTTCGGAGCAGAAAGCAGGGCAAGCCCTGAGAACTGCCACTGCCACCGTCTCTTGCCTTGTCCAGCAGGCCTCTGCAGCTCCTGGGTGGTCTTTGTTCTTGTGCTCTTCTTCAAGGCTCCACCTACCTGTCAGGATGACCCCAAGTCCAGCTCCTGATGGAAGGGGCTTTTTCCTTAGATTTTAAGGATCATATAAGTTTGCAAAATGCTTAGTTACACAAAGTTAAATAGATTTCTTTACTATAGAAATTCCCAGAGCCATCAATATGGTAAATCAAACCTAAGGTATTTCCCAAATTTATATGCTGCTGAACTCTTTTTTAAAAGGAGCATTTCAGCCTTTGAAAAACATTGCTAAGTGAAATTTAAATTCACATATTAGTTATAGGTACCCAGTGACAGAGGAACTGGAAGTCTTCGGGAACATACCCTCAATGGGTATATCATATTTGTTTCTCCTCACAAAGTATCAAAATTGTTTTTATAGGATTTGTGAATAAACCTTATTTAAGAATTGACAAAAAATTCCTTTGAATATTTAATCATGTGCAAAAAACAAAATGTCATATTTTAATAAATATAGTTTTTCAAAATCAAGTCTTACATTTTGTAGGTTTATAACAAATAGCACCATCACTAACAGACTTGCATTTTTCATGTCTCCAAATTCCTTTTGGATCCAAGACAACACAATTTCCAGCAGACTGTTTATCTTTCCATGGGATGTAGTCAAATGTACTGCCATCAGACCATTCAAAACTTGATTCACTTCCCTGTTTTAAGAATAATAGAGACAAAAAAAAGCTTAGGACTTTTTTAGTATCAGAATTGATTTTTTTAAAGATTAATAGAGATAACCTGATTCCAGACAACAGAATGTTCAAAAATAACATTAAAAAGAATATATAGGGGCGCCTGGGTGGCTCAGTCATTAAGCGTCTGGCTTCGGCTCAGGTCATGATCCCAGGGTCCTGGGATCGAGCCCCGCATCGGGCTCCCTGCTCAGCGGGAAGCCTGCTTCTCCCTCTCCCACTCCCCCTGCTTGTGTTCCCTCTCTCACTGTGTCTCTCTGTCAAATAAATAAATAAAGTCTTAAAAAAAAAAAGGAATATACATACTTTAAGAAGTATTGGAATGGATTTTTTTTTTAAAGATTTTTTTTATTTATTTATTCATGAGAGACAGAGGGGGAGAGAGAGAGAGAGAGAGAAGCAGAGGGAGAAGCAGGCTCCCAAGGAGCAGGGAGCCCGATGCGGGACTCGATCCCAGGACCCCGGGATCATGACCTGAGCCGAAGGCAGATGCTTAACCATCTGAGCCACCCAGGCGCCCTGGAATGGATTTTTAATTATTTGCTTACAATTGTTATAGGTCTGGACCTATTTGTAAAATCAGGGATTTACTTTTGATGCTTTGATTTGAGACATTTACTCTGGTGCAATTTAAGTAGAACTTTAAATTTATGGACAGAGTTACTATACTCTGTCTCTAGATTTATTTTTTATAAGGATGAGTTTATATAACACTTGAAATTAAATGACGTGCAAATGGCTTCCATTTGTTACAATTACAGATTTACAATTCCAATCTCCATAATATCCTGAATATTGTTTTTTATGTTGTATATTCTGCGATTTGTGTCTCTGGCTTCATTTTTTCACATTATGGAAGCCATCAAACAGCAGGGGCCTGGAAGAAAATACTTCCCACGAAATTTATATGGGAAGATTACTTTTGGTTTTCCCTTGCTTCTGTAATCCTAATGTGTCATCCTTTCTTTTGTTTTCTTCACTTTGTTCTAAAGATTATTTAAATTAGGGCTTCAATTCTAATCTCAATAGATGCCTATTTTTGGTATATTGGACATTACTATAGGTACACAAATATACTAATTAATAAGATTCAAATAATTAATAAGATTCAAACACAAAAGATATGTTTACTACCAAAACATTATTCTCAAATAGTGCAATTTGTAGGGGGAAAGTGAGAGAAGAAAGTATACATTTATTAGTTCTAACATTAAGAATTTTATTTGGCATTTTATATAAATTTTTGTGTTAATCTTCTCTATAATCCTATATTAAGGAAAATACTATCATCCCAGTTTTACAAATGAGGAAGAAATAAGCTTGCAAAGGTTAAACAACCTGCTCATGATCACTGAACATGTAAATGGAAGACCCGCCACTAGTACTGGACCTCAGGTTTTTCTGATTCTGTGCTATTCCTGTTTTACCCGCTTTCCAGTTGGTCTGCCCCAACTAGGTGACAGAGCAGTGTTGTTGAGATATTCATCTACTGGGCCCTTGGGATGGCCTGGGAGTGTCTAGGGCAGCTGCAGTCTGCCATTTGCCCTACTGCATTCTACAAATACAATTTTCTATTTGGTTTGTGTTGCAAAAAGGTAAGAAAGCACTATGCTATGCAAATTGAGTCCCAGGACTTAATCCGATGTTATACTTTGAATTAATATCTTATGCCCAAATTTCCAACCTCCTAACACATTTGGAAAATTTCTGGAAAATAAAACAAGACTTACATCATGACTTGAGAGCCCAATCCATAGTGGAAATCCATCACGTTTTACGAGGTCTTCCAGAAAGAGCTGGCCATTTTGGTCATGAACACTTGTCAAATAACCTCCACTTTGAGAACACATGTTTAATGCTTCATACCATGTTACCTTTTTTTGTATAACATTATAAATACCATCTTCATATGGGATAAACTGTGGCAGAGTAGCATTATATTCTTCCTTGTAGTCAACTATAACATTTAAATTAAAAGTATTAGGGATTATATTTAAATTATTTAAAATACATATTTTGGACAGCAAAGAAATACAAACAATTAGAACATATTATGAGCAACTATATGCCAGCAAATTAGATAATCTGGAAGAAGTGGATGCATTCCTAGAGATGCATAAACTACCAAAACTGAACCAGGAAGAGATAGAAAACCTGAACAGACCTATAACCGCTAAGGAAATTGAAGAGTAATCAAAAATCTCCCAACAAACAAGAGCCCAGGGCCAGATGGCTACCCAGGGGAATTCTACCAAACCTTTAAAGAGGAATTAGTATTTATTCTTCTGAAACTGTTCCAAAAAATAGAAATGGAAGGAAAACTTCCAATCTCATTTTATGAGACCAGCATTACCTTGATCCGCAAATCAAAGACCCCATCAAAAAGGAGAACTACAGACCAATATCCCTGATGAACTGTATGCAAAAATTCTCACCACAATACTAGCCAATAGGATCCAATAGTACATTCAAAGGATTATTCACCACGGCCAAGTGGGATTTATTCCTGGGTGACAAGGGTGGTTCAATATCCGCAAATCAATCAGTGTGATACAGTACGTTAATAAAAGAAAGAACAAGAACCATATGATCCTCTCAATAGATGCAGAAAAAGCATCTGACAAAGTACAGCATCCTTTCTTAATTAAAACTCTTCAGAGTGTAGGGATAGAGGGTACATACCTCAATATCATAAAAGCCATCTATGAAAAACCCACAGCAAATATCATTCTAAATGGGGAAAAACTGAGAGCTTTTCCTCTAAGGTAGGGAATACGGCAGGGATGTCCACTATCACCACTGTTATTCAACATAGTACTAGAAGTCCTAGCCTCAGCAATCAGACAACAAAAGAAATAAAAGGCATCTGAATTGGCAAAGAAGAAGCAAAACTCTCACTCTTTGCAGATGATATGATACTTTATGTGGAAAACCCAAAAGACTCCACCCCAAAACTGCTAGAACTCATACAGGAATTCATAAAGTGGCCGGATATAAAATCAATGCACAGAAATCAGTGGCATTTCTATACACCAACAACAAGACAGAAGAAAGAGAAATTAAGGAGTCGATCCCATTTACAGTTACACCCAAAACCATAAGATACCTAGGAATAAATCTAACCAAAGAGGCAAAGAATCTGTACTCAGAAAACTATAAAATACTCATGAAAGAAATTGAGGAAGACACAAAGAAATGGAAAAACTTTCCATGCTCATTGATTGGAAGAACAAATATTGTGAAAATGTCTATGCTACCTTGAGCAATCTACACATTTAATGCAATCCTTATCAAAATACCATCAACTTTTTTCAAAGAAATGGAACAAATAATCCTAAAATT